CTTGCCGAGGAAGTCGACGACTCGTCGCACCGCCGCTGGTAAATCCTGAAAGCATTTGGGAATAAATACATGCCATTTTCATTATTTGTGTTAGAAAAAGACACCGACATTGCCTTTAAAAGAAACGTTCAATTTCTGTCATTAAACATTATTACAATAAGGAATAAAGTCGATTCTAAATATGCAACATTTTTTCTAATTCATAATATTATGACGATATAAAGTGAGTTGAAAGATATTACAGTAACAAGAACTGTGAATAACTAGAACATGTTACTTTCACACACCCAAAGGCATTTTAATTTTATTCGAAAAGCGCGCAGCGGTTACGGGTGTTTCCCGTTGGGCCGATCAATCGGTGAGCGAGACGGTTACGCATAGTCTTTTTAAATTTCAAGTCAATTGTTGACTTATAAGATAAATGGCAAGATTAACCCTTGAGTTATAACTTTAATCTCTTTTTTATGCTGTTACCCACATAAAGACCAGCAACGCATAGATCCACTTTATGGTTTTGGCTGATATTAAGTCAATTAATAACTGGTGATCCGATTTCTTTTTCTTTTCACTATTTTTAGTAATCCTTGGCAATAACATACATAGTTTGATTAGAAATACCTTAGAAAGCTCTTCGTAAAACAGGAACAATAAGTTAGGATTATGTCTCTTCTCCCAGGATTCTTTCAGATGTTCAAAATATGGAGTCCAATGATCTATAAAATTTTATCAAACTTCTTAATGTATGGCTTCTAAATAATTAACACTAATTGGTGAATAATATTACTTAAAACTCACGTAAATCACTTATGAAGTATTTCCAATATTTCTTAAAATCGTCAACATATCCCTGAGTTCGCATCGCTCTGTTGAGGTGATAGAAGGAGACAGCGACATCTCTGGGATCGCGGGCGACGTAGATAACTTTGGCCGTATCCAAGAGGTTCGGCGGGAGTAAGGAAAGTGGCAGATGTGACTTTATGAAGCGCTGCTTGTTCATCAGCGCGAGTTGCTCTGTCGCCGGCTGCGTCACCCATTCTAGAAGTTTAATTTTTCTCTCGCTGTCACAGTTCTCATCGCGAAAACGCTTCATCATCACAGGATGCACGAACACTGAAAACCTAAGATAGAAGTAGTAAGGACATTGCAACTTTGCTTCTAAACACTCTTTTTAACTCTCTCTCTCTCTTTAACACTCTCTTTAACTCATATCACGTACAATATTTGTATCTGTTTATCTGTCACGAATTAAACTTTAAAGATTTTAAACTTAGATCGCACCTTGGTTCGTATAAGTGGTTGCAAAGACATTTTTTTACATACTTACTCCAAAAAAGGGTATCGTTCAGTGAGAGGTATTGCGTTAGAGGTTTCATAGTCCAGGT